CGTCTTATTTCCAGAGAAATGCGAGACACGAAATTAAAAGATAAATAGATAATTTACCTATGATATGAAGCAGAACGTTGACTGATCATCTTTTTATTCATTATGTGCAAAATAAACACGAAAACTAAATATTTTATAATAAAAATACGGAAAAATGATGGAATGATTTTACGCGCGAAACACTTCACTTCGAAGAACAGACTGATTGGAACGCCACGTCGGTAGAATTTGAAACTAAAATTGACACTAATTATTGTCTTATAATTTTAAATTATATTATATTATATTATATTATATTGTTTTATAATTTTAAATTATTATATTATTATATAAAACGAGTTTCATATTTCATATATAAATAGTATAGAAATATATACACAAGAAATGAATTTGTTCATATAATGTTGTATTATTATATAATATAGATTATTCTATATAATAATATGAATTTTATTAAAACATATATTTTGTATAGATACATATTTTACAAATGATGAGATACAGAAATGGATTTAAATACAAAATATTCGAATTTGAAGTAATATATGTATTTAATGTAATATTTCATAAATATTTCTATAAACAATGAGACTGCAATATAATCTATTGAAACTCAAAGTGCAATATGTCGATTTTATTTGCATATTCTTTGCGTCTATATACTACATTAATTTATTGATTAACGTTCTACTTATTTATTTGTTATTAATATTCACTCAACCAATATATCATTATAATTCGAATCCAAAATTAATATTACGGTATGCATTTTGCAGTTTTTAAAAATATATATAAATTTTACAAAAAATTATATATAATTTCTAATAGAATATTACAATTTCTTACATTATATTTTAATATTAAATATTATAACTTTCAAAGCAAAATATTTACAAAATATTATTTTAATTTATGAATTGAAGACAAATGAAAATTCGTTCGAAACTAGCTCTCAATGTGTTTAAATTAAAAGTAATAATGAACAAGGCAAAATGAAGAAACTGTATAAAAAGAAAAAGATGAAGTCGATAGTGAGTAAACAACTAAAGTAAGCGAAAAACTTTCAATTCTTCAAATATCTTCGAAGTGTACAAACAGGAGATAATAATGATAGAAACGATAATAACATTTTATCGATTCGATGTAAGAAGTAATACGTTTATTTAAGAAAAAGTTAATTCAAAATTAATGAATTTACACGATAGATAAAGAATAAAAAATATGAAATTATTGAAAAATTTGTTTTGTTATTTTAATAATTTTAAAACGATCACATTGATCCTATCGATTAACTAACTGGTATATTTTATTTAATTAATCTGTTCAATATGATATTAATTTTATAAAAGATAGAAATAAAATTTGCAAATCTAAATAAATAAAAATAAATAAAAATAAATTATATTTATAATATATTTATATAATTAAAGTTCTCAAATGTAAAATAACAAAACAAAAAATTCCAGTCCAATATATTGAAAATATTGAAAATATTTATGAGAATAATAATTTTTTAAAAATATTTTTACAACTTGAAAGAAATTGTAATATACATTAAAATACAAGTATATTTCTCGATAAATTAAAATATGCATAAATTTAATTTTTTTATGTATAATAAAAAAAAGAAATAAACGAAGAAATGTCGACAATTCTTTATTGATAATTTAAACGGGATAAAATGTAGTAGTGCCAAGATCAGAGAGAGGAAAATACGGACGAAATTTTTTAAGAAATTCTTTTCAAAGAAAACTAGCTCGAGATCCAGAGTAAAGAAGAAATTCTGAAGAACTATGTTGCTCTTTGTTTAACTGTAAAACCTGTGAATAATTCCATTATCTATGAACTACTTCGTACAAAGTGGAGGATTTTAAAAAAGAAAAGTAAAAAGTAGTATATTTCAAGAATTAAAATATTATTAATAAAAAAAAATTTTCTTTAAAACTTCTTTAAAACATCAATGATTTTCGTACGAAAAAATATAATGAATATCGAGGCTAACATTATTATGCGTTTAATAATTAAACAATACCATGCTTGTTGAAACATTAAATACAAATAATATGAAATATAAATAGTGAAATCAAACAAAATATATATATAGTATAAAATATTCAAATATTTTTGTTGAAGAATATATGTTAAAAATTTACAATTGAAAAAAAAAAGATAAAAAAAAATCAATATTGAATTATATATTTGTATTTTTCAAAC